AATGAGTCCACGAAGGCTCACCCACACTCTCCGCACCACCCTAGCTTGACTGAGTTCGCTCGGTCACGCGTGGCATTCCTCGCCACATTACACCAAAGGAAATAGCCAACCTCANGAAACTTCTGGCAATGCGTGGCGGAAGTGGCGCACCCGCAACACGCACAGAAGATTGTTGGAAAAAAGGTGGTTGTACTCGCCGCCAGCCGGTCGGGTTCCGGTTACCCCAAGAAGACTTCTCTTGCCTAGCAAACAAGAAGAAGCCTCGAAAAAGGGGGGGTAATGTGGAGAACACCTTCATAAAGGTTGAAACTCCCCAACGTCTGTCGAGGACGAAACCCTCTTTTCCACAGCTGAAGCTGATTTTTTCACATATACACAGCACATTGACAAGGACAGGAGCACTTTGACGTAGACACAACACATTTTCAGCTTCAGCTTCCTTGCGGAAAATTTATTACAGGAGAGCAGACCTCTGACGGTCTTAGGGGAAAAAAAAAGGCCAACGAACCTTGCTGTATTGCCTGTCCTGGAACTCCAAAGTTCACCGAAGAATGACCACCATGAGAACGATATCTTCGCGTTGAAAAAGAGTTTCAAAAGCTTCCTGCCTGAAATCGGTGGAACCACAACGAAATATTGTCCCCCTATCCTAGAAGTAAAGCACGACGTCTTTCCCTTCGAGGACTCAAACGCTCCCGGACGTCGCACCCGCAATGTCCAAGGCACCAACAAACTAACCAAAAAGTTGAACCGAAATTCCTCGAGGTGGGGCAGCCCACCAATTTTTCAGCAAAAAATCACAAGTTTCTACCGAACACAGGCTACTATTGAATGGCCTGTGCCTCTCCCCCCCATCCTCCCGAAAAAGGACGGCACGTCGCTACCAAGACCCCAAAGCCAAACATCAAGAACCTACGCACAACACCGGAAGAGTTAACATCACCGGCATCGGAAGGCAACACCAAAGCAAAAAATCCGGAGCACACACCACGCGGAACAGAAAAAAAATGTTTTTGTGGCGAGGTCGTTCTTCTCGCTGGCTCGTTCTCTCCTCGCGTCGCGAAAAAAAAAAGTTCCGCGAGACGTCGAAGTGCTCTCCGCCTCCGCGCTCCCGAACAATCCTCGACTTGCCGTCTCGCTCTCCCCACCACGACGAAAATCGTCCCTTCCGCCACGAAGATCATCACGAACGGCTCTCCCCGACCACCGCGAAAGGACGTCCTCCATGTCGCACCCCGACCACCACGGCGAATCCTCCTCCGTAGCGCACCCCGTCCACCACGGCGAAACCTCCACCACGGCGCACCCCTCAGGTCCCGTTCCGCCGGACGCTCCCGGACCGCACGTGCACAAGAAAGCACCACGATCCACCGCCGTACAATATTCCGTCGGCGACAACGACACGCTGAAACGCCGCTCGAGGTCGACGAAATGAACGTTGTACGGCAGGTCCTCCTCCCGCGCCCTCGAAACCTGATGTACCACTCCTAGCTGCCAGCCCTCCTGCTCCGTCCGCACGTAAACATGCGCTCCTTTCATCTCCGCTGACAGCAAGGCCGGCCCACGCTCGCACGTCGCCAGTAACACGTACCCTGGTGTCACAAAAAGGGAACTGCGGGAGCGAGCTTGCGCGCGGTGCGCGGCAAGCGTATTATAGTCACGGTGCACTTTATTGTCGGCTCCTACTTGACGCACTGCACTGCCCACCCAATACTACTTCACGACAAAATCATCATACTGCTGGATGTTTGCTTCAGATTCCCAAGTGGGCTGGCGGTGTCCGCGCCAACGCCTTTCGTATTGTAGCGCGATGGAACCCCCTGGACCTATACTGATACCGGTGATAGCGGTCGGCTGTGCACGCTGTACGTCAAGCTCTATGTCCACGTCATCCGCGGTGAGGTAGAAGGGAGGCGCCATGTCCGCAAATTTATGCAGGACGTACGAACAAATTTCCCAAGGAAAAAAGTTGGGGATTTCCTCGGGTTCGTCCGCACGATGGCAAAGCTTATACCGCAACACTGAGACACGGTTGGATTTGGCCTGTGTGTCGTGCGGTAAATCCAGATACAGCAACTTGGACCCAACTTTCATGTCGTTAAAGCGACAGGGCCCTACAGCAAGCACTTTAAACGGTCCTGCCCACAGGTTAGCGAGTTTCGCTTTGATGCTATTGGCAGAAGCTGTTTTATCGTCGTTCGCCGCACGAAGGGTGTGCTGTGGATCGTAGCACCACACCCACGTGCCCGCGTGGAAAATCGGCTGCTTCGCAATGAGGTTGTCTAGATCTTCGTTGCGTGCTCGGTGTTTTCCTTTCGTGAGCGTGTCTCTTTCAACCACTAGCTTGAAGGCTTTCGCTTGCCGGTCTTTCATGAGCTGGGGATATTAGATCATCCCGCTGTTTCGACTGCATACCAGAAACCAGCTTCTGTGACCCAAGAACAGTCATCGGAAAACGAGGATACCGGCCAATATGTACTTCCATGGGCGCAAGACCGGTAGCCTTGCTCACGTGATTGTTGTGAGCGTACACACACGGCAAGAGATGGTCGTCCCAATCGGTTTGTTGGGCGCTGATCACATGAGACAACATCTGGCAGACCGTATGGTTCAATCTTTCGACGCACCCGTTGGTTTGAGGGTGGAATGAATTGGTAAACCGTTTCTTGGCCCCAGGCAATCGGTACACATCACGCGCAACAGCCGCCGTAATCTCGCCCCCTCTATCCGACAACAAATACACCGGACATCCCCAACGCGTACAATGATCGTCGGCGAGCTTTGAGGCACACCCCTGAGCCGTTTTCTCGTCGGCAGAGAGAGCGTAGGGTATGGCATGCCTGCTAAACAAGTCGACGACCAGCAACACGTATTTGTTTCCGCGTTTAGTTGTTGGCAGAGGGCCAAGAATATCAAACGCCACCATTTCCCCCGGCCGGGAGGGTAAGGGAAGCGAAAACAACGGCCATCTAGGCTTTCGGCGAGCCGTTTTCGAGGCTTGGCACACGATGCAGTGTTTCATGAACCATCGCACGCTGTCACTCATGCCAGTCCAAAAATTGTAACGCTCGAGGGAGGCCAACGTCACGTCCTCTCCTAAATGACAACCTTCTGTGTGCACCGCATTTAAAGCCCACGGCCGCAAAAGAGAAGGAACGTACAATCGGACCGGTTCATCCCCCAAAAGTCTTTCGGATTTACCGCCGCTGTGTCGTTGGGCGCGAGATGTAGGCGCTTCGGACGGTTTCTTTATCAGCAGCACGTGGTGGGCGTCTTTTGCCCCTACCGGCTCGGCGAATGAGCCGCGAGGGAAAGCGTCCACGTGTTGCCGTTGCCCTCTTGTTCTCTTGGTTTGTGTCGCGTACGGCTATTTATCTCGGATTACAAGCACGCACCACAAGCAGGGGGGGCTTCGCTTTAGAACCCACGACGGGTTGTTTAGGGGTGGGGGGAGGAGAGCGTATTAACCGGACTGAATCTAAGCACGCACTGCTGTTAGCCGTTGCAGTGGGTCGTTGGGAGCGTTGGCTGGGAGGAGCACTACTTCTGTCTCGCTTTGCTGATCTGCATGGCATCGATAGAAGGCCCACCAAATGGTGTTTCTTTCATCGCCCGTCGACTCTTTTGTGCTATTATCGCGTGCAGACCTGTCTTTGGAAAGACTTTGCGTGTTGATTTTCAACGAGAGTGACCGTCGTAATAGAAAAAATCATGCAAACCGCCTGCCCGCCCCCGCGTCGAACGCGGCCCAGCCGCTGCGCAGTCAACTCCACCCGCCCCTATGCCTTCGGACAACATCACCACGAAGCACAACCACCACAAACGCCATGCACGCGGCACCAACCCCCCTTCCCAAAAAAACATGATGCACCGACTGGAAATGACCAAAAAAAAACATCACTCACAGGGTGGTGTGTTTCCTTGTCCGAAATCATGACTCCCTCGTCGTACGCTCGGGCACTTTCGCCAATCTCCCCCTCCCATGTGTACCCCCTCTCCACCAACGCCCTCTTCTCCAGCGCCCTCACGACATCCCAACGTCCCTCGCTAGCAGCCGACTGCATGATAGCCTCACTGTATTCCCATCCATTCTCGAGGCACCACAGGACCATCTCCACATGCCCAGCACCCGCGGCATGCTCAATTACACGCCCCCACCCTTCCACATCAAAGCATTGACTACAGAAGTCCGCAGTAACCGCGCCGCAGCGCTCCGACACCACCGCAGCATTTCCAAACCCCCGTTGCGTCGGCTGCCTCCAAACCCTGGAGAGGTCCAGTGCCAACCCGAGCCCTGAGACACCACGTCGAAATGGCCTTGCGCTGCAGCATGCACTACTATCTGTGTTGTACAGGGCATAGCGGTTGTCGTCTCTGGCCACATACTCCTGCAGGCCTGCCAACATGACCCCGTCACCACTCCTCGCGTACTCGTAGCAACTGTCATCCAACCACGCACGTTGGATCGTCACAAATCTTGTCAGAGGCCCAACATTTCCAACTCGCTATCCTGTAGCGCAGCGTTCACGCGTGCCGTGGCCAACTCATTCGCCTTAGCCCTGTCCGCAATCTCCTCGTCTTCCGGAAAGCAACAAGCCACGAGCTTCGGCGAGTCTTCCTGGAGAGCGCCGCCGTCATCTCCTGCCAGCGAACAAAAAAGTCATAACTGCTGTAGGTATAGAGTACCGATTGGACATCACATCGCCTCACGGTCACACTGCGGTTACACTGCAATACGGAAATTCTGCAGCGCATCCACTCACTGCGGTTGTCCGGTTTGCCACACACACATCCCTGCTGCTGTGGATCCACACATAAACTTTAGACAGAGCTTGACGGAAATTAAAACAAATTTGGAGGAAGAACGACATGCGCAAAGACCAACAGGAGTACTCGGTAACGACTCTTTCACGGCCGAACGACAACGACAGCATATCGGTCGTGGAACTCGCGAACCCCGAGGTGCAAAACCAACGCATGCAGAATCTAACGGTCTGCTGTCTGCCCTCTCGTACCTTCCACAGAGGCGCCTGCGGTGATTCCGGTGCAATGTGATTCAACCGCGTCTGCAAGAATGATATCCATACGGCGTCTTGCGTGTGAGTCTCCTGTGTGGCCATCAGAGCCGTCGCCGGTGCGTGCGGTGCGCGGTGGCGTGTTGTGCGGGCCGTGGGGATTTCAAAATGGGTTCTGCAAGGTTCTGAAAAGGTTATGTAAAGGATGGTTCTGGAGGCGTTTTTAAGTTGTGCACGGAAACTCGCACAAGTACTGGGATATTAACGCGCCCTGAGACTGTGGGCCCTGGCGCTCGAGACAGCGGCGGCGTCAGCGGTGGAGTAGCGGGCGGCACAACACACGAGCCTGTCGATCGCGGGAAAAGTACCCTATTTTTTTTTTTTTCCCCGCGGCGTCGTATGTGCCGAGTGTTGAGACCACGGGCTCCCCATTTTTTGTGGATAATAGAGCTAATAACAAGAGTAACAACGTGAAAAACAACAACAACTTTTGTGCGCGAAGGCCTAGTGTGCGACCAGTGCCTCCTGTGCTAGCCTGGTTACCCATCACACGCTTGAACGCTTTTGATATTTCTCGATCAAAGCTCGAACCACAACAGCAGAGACATTTTTTTTTTGTTAGCTGCTGCTATGCATAGTGTGAATGCCACCTCAGACTGTCGTAGATTGTGACGTCAGATGACCTG